GTCCCCCTGTGTCTGTGTGTCAATCAGTCTGTCTGTCCCCCTGTGTCTGTATGTTAGTCTGTCTGTCCCGTGTCTGTGTCAATCAGTTTCTCACCCCTGGTGTTGCCGTCTGCACATTGAAAGCGGAGCTGCAGAGACTGAAAGCCTGGAGAAACGACTGGGCAGACACTCCTGAAGGAGAGAGGAGAGAGCATCATCATCATTTCCAACCTAATAACGATAATAACGATGAGTAGCGGCAGCAGTAACAAATTTAATAACAATCTCACCCTCCGGAGCGGCGCTGGTCACGATCAGACAGGTCGGTTTTGAAGACATTTCAATACCAACAATCACTCAATCCCTCGCTGTCCTCTGGAAGACCGACACAGACAGTTTGACTTTAGTCCACTAGCAGCGAAAGGAGAATAGGGATTCCCGCAACACACAAAAGGAGGAGAAGCGAAATGTTATTTGAACACCGAAATAAGAGAAGTTGTCCCCGCCGCTCATCCTTCCCCCCAGGAAACACTAAACTCCCACACCAGAGTTCCGTTTTGCTACTGACAGAGTAGCAGCCTCCAGTGCGAGAGTGGTGTATTATTATTATTATTATTATTATTATTATTATTATTATTGTTGTTGTTGTTGTTGTTGTTGTTGTTCTTATTACTACTACTACTACTACTACTACTACTACTACTAAAAATAATAATGAACAGATACAAACTCAAATTAAAGGCGTTTCTGAAGAAGGTTTTGGATTTGGATCTGAAAGCTCTTCAGGGAATGACTGGTATTCTCGGGGATTCAGTTGCAGGGCTCTGGGAAACAGCAGGAAAGCCCACAGAGTATAAACAAGCTTAGAGGACAGACAGGAGACCAGAGTCAGACAAACAAAGGTTGCAGATAATAACTTAGACAGGTACTGAGGTGCTGAGCCATGCAGAGCCTTATAAGGAGAGCATGAGGATTTTAAAACTAAACCTGACAGGAAACCAGTGCAAGGACTCCAGGACAGGAGTAATGCCCTAGACCTGGTCAGGGGTCAGGCTGCTGAGTTCTGGACAGACTGGAGTTTGTTCAGTGTGGCTTTAAACACCCCTGAGAGTAGGGTAGTGCAGTAATCAACCTGAGAGACGACGAGCAGCTTTCCTGCTCCAGTCAGAGACATCACAGGAGCTGCTGTGATTCTCCACAGCATCACTGACCTGCTACAGTTGGAGACATCACTGGACATATGCTGGCGCTATTTCAGAGATTGAAGAATTATATTTTTATGGTATCTGCACATGTGGGTCAGAGGTCAAGCCTGGATGAAATATCACCCCCCAGTTCTTCAGATTAGACTGAAATTCAAGGACATTGCCATAAAGACAGGGTCAGCATTGGCTTTAGATAGGTGGATGGAGGAGCTATCCGTTCTAAACCATGACTTCAGTCTTGTCAGAGTTTAAATAAAGGAAATTGAATGATCCAGGATTTTATGTCAGAGATGCGATTAGAGAGAGAAGAGACAGTCACAGCAGTGTCGGGTTTGGAAACATATTTGAGTATCAGTGGCACAGAAAATATCATTCAGACCATGTGATTTCAATGATTTCAATAACTGACCAAGTGGTAACATGTAAATGTTGAATAGGAGAGGACCCAGTACCGAGCCCTGAGTATCAATTGAAAAAAAAATTTTTTTAACACTCTCACCATTACAAGAATACTGGTTTATACTGGGAGACATGCATGTTTACAAGTGAGTAATTTGCCTCTACAGTATCTACAGCTCTGATGAGGGAGTGTTAGTGTGAAGTTACAGAGGAGCTGGACTGAGTGTCTCTACAGTATCTACAGCTCTGATGAGGGAGTGTTGGTGTGAAGTTACAGAGGAGCTGGACTGAGTGTCTCTACAGTATCTACAGCTCTGATGAGGGAGCGTGTGAAGTTAGAGATTAGTTTTCAGTGTGTGTTCCGGGGTGAGTGCAGTACAAGCAATGGAACTCAGTCATTGTGTTTTTTCTGGCAATTTTATATTTTATTGTCTGCCATTAGGTTCTCTTGGTGCACAATGCAGGTCCAAAAAAATCCTAACACACAGAAGCACAGGAATAAATAAAGACACCAATTACTTCTGTAACTAATTACAGAAAATACATGCTGCTCTGAAGATGAATAGTCATAATAAGTTACTTACAGTACAGATTATTTTCTGACACACCCACATTGTTAAACAGTAACCCTAGGCTTAGAATGACACTGGTAGAGACAATACATTAAAATATAATACAGTGAACTAGAATACAGAGTATTACAGCACAGCATTGACATACTATACAGCGCTATAAACTATAGTACAGTACAGTGTGTTATAATACATTACAGAACAGTGTACTATAGTACAGCACAGTATAGTACAACACAGTGTGTTATAATAGAGTATAGTGCAGTAGACTGTAGTACAGCACAGTAATACAGAGTACTAGAGTACTATCTCCCTCAATCAATGCTGCCCATTATCTCCCTGGATCAATACCGCCGTATTTCCCTGGATAAATACCATCCACTATCTCCATCAATCAATAACCGCCCATTATTTCCCTCGATTAATACTCGGTATCTCCCTCGATCAATACCTCTTGTTATCTCTCTGGTTCAATACTGCCCGGTATCTCCCTGGATCAATACTGCCCAGTATCTCACTGGATCAATACCGCTGTATTTCCCTGGATCAATACTACCCATTATCTCCCTTGATCTATAGTACCCAGTATCTACCTCGATCAATACTGCCCGCTCACTCCCTGGATCAATACTGCCTACTATTACCCTCAATCAATACTGCCCAGTATCTCCCTGGATCAATACTGCCCTGTATCTCCCCTGATCAGTACCACCCAGTATGTACCTGGATCAATACTGCCCAGGATCTCCCTGGATCAATACTGCCCAGTATCTCCCCTGATCAGTACCACCCAGTATGTACCTGGATCAATACTGCCCACTCACTCCCTAGATCAATACTGCCCAGTATCTCCCCTGATCAGTACCACCCAGTATGTACCTCAATCAATACTGCCCACTCACTCCCTGGATCAATACCGCCTGGAGTCACCCTCCCTCAGGGCTGCTACACTAGACAAAGGCTGCTGGTTTGATTGTGTCAGCTCTTCCAGTTATTGAAGTTCTGTCCTTTTCACCTGAAACCCAGGTAGAAAGCTGTCCTGCTTCCTTCTTAACACAGCTAGATCACCCTGACAGCAGGAGGACTGATATTCAAAATAACAGTTGGCAATTTTAATCATAATCTCACGAGATACGTCTCTGCTAATGTTGTGTCCTACCTGATTTATTGCACTTATACGCTCTGAGATAAGAACAAGAATTACATTTTCAAAATTCACCTGCTCTTAGAATTAGAGATTTTTTTATTTTTGGTCTTTAATTTCCAGGTTTTCAGTCTGGTCTTAATGTGTTTAATTGCGGAAGGGTTGGGGTAGATGCAAGACTGAGGAAGAGAGGCCGTGTGATTGAGTCAGAGGTGTTTGTAGAGGCCGTGTGATTGAGTCAGAGGTGTTTGTAGAGGCCGTGTGATTGGGTCCGAGGTGTTTGTAGAGGCCGTGTGATTGGGTCCGAGGTGTTTGTAGAGGCCGTGTGATTGGGTCCGAGGTGTTTGTAGAGGCCGTGTGATTGGGTTCGAGGTGGGTCCGAGGTGTTAGCAGGTAATGTCCCAGGGGGGCAGTAAGTGAGTCAGTCCTCCAGTGTGATTGGAGAAGCTGGGTGCTGATTGACAGCACCATCTGGCTGATAGCTACAGGCAGAAGGAGCACAGTGCACACATGACTCCAGACACACAGATACACAGGTGTACACACGAGGCTCCAGCTAGGCTGGGGAGGAAAACAGAGGAAAACACAAGGACAGGCAGGGGAGAGGCTGCAGAAGAGAGTCTCGATAAAGCCGATCTGTAAGCGAGAGGAGGGGCTCGAGAGAGAAATAAGAAATGTCCAGGAGAATCAGATGCCAAACTCAGCAACAGACTCTAACAGGTCTACTTCTCAGCTGGCTCGGGAAGCTTCCAATGTGCCCTCTAAGCTGTGAGCCTGGAAAATTGAACTGCGCACAAAAGATTAAATTAAAAAAATATACGATAATAAAACAAACACAGTCATGTGCTAAATTGGCCACGTGAGACTGGCTGTGAGAGGCCCAACTTGGCTGTGTGTATTATTACTGCTACCCGAGAATCGATATCTGTGCTCTCGTAGTCTCGAGCCTCCCTACTCATGCTCACGCAACACTCAGTCTCTATGACTGGGCTCGTTGAGTCGCTGTCCCGGTCTTTTGGATCTCAATGCTTCTATGAAAATGACTATACTAACAAAAATAATTTCAGGTTTACAATTTTCCATACACTCAATTCAGTGCGCACACGTTTTTGTCACTAGGGAAAAAATTTGCACAACTTGACATTTTTGTGCACACAGGCCATTAAAAATGAGAGGGAACATTGCTCAGCACATAGAGAAATCCCAATGGAAAGAGCTCTACTGTGCAGGAAGACTTTAGTTTAACACTGTGTCTTCTTACACACAAAGAAAAAAACTCTAACCAACTCACCCACAGCTGCCACCAGGACTCTCTTCAGAGCCCTGACTAATGTGTGTGACTGGGGTACCCCATTTACCCTGTGTTAGAATTTGTCTCCCAGACGTAATTAATCAATAATGCATCACACCTTATCTAATTTACACACAATAAAGTCGCCCTCTAGTGGCAGGTCAGGTGAAACTGTTGCCCTCACAACCGCTGGCTGCTCCTCTGGGTCAAATCCCAGCAGCTTCTCTCTCTGCACCTCCTGCCTGAAGAGGCTCCAACTGGAGCCTTGTGCTTATTTCGAGGGGTGAGCATGTGCATGTTCTCGTGATGAACATGTTCACACACTCATGTACTCGTGTTTAACACGCTTGCACACTCGTGTGCTCGTGTAGCAGTGTAACTGAGAGAGGACACCCTGACTGGATGGAGGCTAATTTACTAAGACAACCAGCGTGACTTGTAGAGCACGTTTTCTGTGCACAGAGCCGTATGAGTTATTGTGCAGCTAATCACCTGGTTACACGCGCGGGTGTGAGTGTGTGAGAGTATGAGTGTGAGCGTGAGCGTGAGTATGAGAGTATGAGTGTGAGCGTGAGTGTGAGAATAAGTGTGAGTGTGAGAGTTTGAGTGTGAGCGTGAGTGTGTGTATGAGTGTGTGTGAGTGTGTGAGTGTGAGTGTGTGTGTGTGAGTGTGTGTGTGTGTGAGGGGACAGGGGCCGTCTCCCCCTGCTGGCCGGCCAGCGGACTCCGGAGCGCGGTGTGGAGACAGCAGGCAACAGACAGCTGGAGCGTGGGGGGTGTCTGTGTGTGCTGACCAGCGAGCCGCGGGCTGTCCGCCCAGCTCTGCTCGTGATGGCAGCGCAGCGGTTATTTCCTGCGCGCCAGCAGAACGGCGCCCACGACGACGGCTGCGACCGCGATCACAGCCCCCCCCAGCAGGAAGGGCTTCAAGCTTTCCAGCGTGGCGGCGCTGTTGGGCGCCTCCTCGGCGGCGTGGGCAGGGGTCTCCGGAGGGGGTGCGGGTGGGTCGCTGGCCGCCGGGGCCTCGGGGGCGTCGGCGGGTTTGCGCGTCATGGGCGTCAGCTCCTTCCTGTCCTTTACTGGCTCCGCCTTCGCCCCGCCGGCAGGCTTGGCTCTCGTCTCCATGGCGATGGCGCGGGCGGGGTGTCCTTTGTCTTGAGGGCGCTGTGTGCCTGCAGGGAGAGTGAAGACAGACTCACTCATCACTGAGATCTCCTGCCTCACACTGCCTCTGCCTCACAGACAGCCCCTCAGCACTGCCTCACACTGCCTCTGCCTCACATGCAGCCCCTCAGCGCTGCCCCACACTGCCTCTGCCTCAGAGACAGCCCCTCAGCGCTGTCTCACACTGCTTCTGCCTCACCGACAGCCCCTCTGTGCTGCCTCACACTGCCTCTGCCACACA